GTGGTAGAATGACTCCGAAGAGGCAAGTCTGAGCCCGATAAAGAAAGGTTTTATGGGTCATGATAGGTGTGATGAATTCTGGGAAGAGCATTGCAAAGGTGTGAGATCACATGTACTATCCTCAACAGACTCTCTTCTTTCCAGGGTGGTGGGGTTTTATGTGAGGGGCAAGTTGGTAAGGGATATAAGGTTTTTCCACCTCTTTTGGATCATTCTCCCTTCTCTCCCATTTCTCCCTCGCAGTCTCAAGATTACTGAGGACAAGGAGGGATCTGATAGGACCACTTCAGCCGCTCCTCCCCATCTTGAAGCTATTACAGCCCGGGAGGGGTAAAGGAAAGCTTCTTTGGAGAGACAGTCTGCCTCTCTCTACAATCCTCTCCCACTCCTGGAGGGTATGGCCTTAAAAGGGCATAAGGAGGGCTTCCCTGGTGGCGCAGTGGTTGAGAGTCCGCCTGCCGATGCGGGGGACACGGGTTCGTGCCCCGGTCCGGGAAGATCCCACATGCCGTGGAGCGGCTGGGCCCGTGAGCCATGGCCGCTGAGCGTTCGGAGCCTGTGCTCCACAACAGGAGAGGCCACAACAGTGAGAGGCCCGCATACCGCAAAAAAAAAAAAAAAAAAAAGGGCATAAGGAGAGCCGGAGTTATGTCTCCCCACCAGCAGGAGTGACCAAAGAAAGCCCATCTTTTGCCCCCCAAGCAGCTTCTGCTGTTCATTGCCACCAATACCCAGAAGTGTGAAATATGAATACAAATTACAGCAACAACTTTCAAAAGTTTATGCCACCACCTACAGTAGGGCCACAGGAATACCTTTCACATCACTGCCATATAAAATATATATGTACAACTGAATAAGTAAAAGTCTTGCAAAACACATACTCATACACTGTATGCAGTGCATCAATACTCTCTATCCCATTCTCTCTTTCTTTTTTCTTTTAATGTGGTCTGTGACCCATTACACCAATTTCAAAACCTAATGGGTTGTTAACCCAGAGTGAAAAACACCTGATTCCAGGCTGGATTTCCCAAAACCAGTATTTCCCAAAGAGTCTTTTATATTTCAGATGTATGGGTAATATCTGTACCTACCACCAATAGAAAACAAGATGTCTCTAGAAGAAACATGGAGACTTTTTTCTAGTTATTATTCAGTGATTTGTTAGTTTTTAGAGTTAGCTTCCATTTGAAAAGACATCCCTTTCCAAGTGATACTGATTTTCCACTTGTGGAAATGATTTTAAGTTTTCTTCTAAAATAAATGTATTTAAGTTTAAAAAGTGATTTACAGAAAAATATTAATTAACTATTAATATAGGAAACATTCAGGTATGTCAAAATTTACAAATATGTTACTCGTGTTCTAAAGTGTGGGAAACTCTATCTTGCACCATTCCATAATGAAATAACAAGCAACTTACTTTCCTTAACATTAGATCTGCTTCTGCACAGTTTTACTAATTACTCCCAGGAAGTTTAGGTTTCATGACATGACATTATGTTATATTACATTTGGCTTTTCCCAAGCAGCCCCTAAGACCCAAGCTAGTGCTTTTTCCAAGCACTTGTTAGGCAGTTTTGAGTTCAGCATCCATTCACAAAGTGATTTGTGCAGATCTTGAGATGCTGGAGCTCGCCTTCCCTCCTTCAGATCATCACGTGGTCTTTCTCTGTCAGGCTTTCAAGTTAATTATTTCCTGTTTTTCTGAGTCTGTTCCTTATCCCCTTTCCCAGGTCACCCTCTACCCTCCCCTCCACACACACATTCTTGGCCACCATCAAGGCAGCTCTGCAGCAAACCCATCATTGTCTCTCGCCTGCCGTGGAGCACCCTCCAACAAGAGCCTTGGGGTTTATTCCAGAGTGCAGCAATCTCAGAGCAAAAGTATGTCATTACTGTTGAATCAAAAGGTAGAGTTCCCTGCTTATTAGTAACATTCTGCGCAATTTACTGACCTTTTGTTCTCTTAGCCCCTGCCTGCTAAGGTACAGCGTGAGCCAATCTCCCTAAATAGTTTTCTCTCTGTGACTGCTGGGATCTCTGGCATCAGCTATACTGTCACTCCTCTCAGGACTCCCACGTTGGGCTTGAGGCTCCCAGCAGATTTGATCTGTCGTGCAAGTAACATTGTTTCTGTGGCTGCCCCATCCCTTCCCATCAAGGCCAGAGTCTGTGCTCCTCCTATTGTCTTTAACAGCTCAGGGTGCTAAACTGAGCTGAGGGGTACCCCATAGAAGCCTCAGGCCTAGAAGCCACTCCATTCCTGTGATCTTTGCTTCCTCATCCCCATGCCCAGAAATCTTCTCCAACTAGCCTTTTATGGTCATCCAGCCTTCATTTCTCTAAATTACTTTTCCAATCCTGGCTGATGTTTTGTCTTAAGTCTCTAATTCAGTCTTGTCTACTTTATTCATCATTTTCTTCCCCCAGCCCCACCCCAGTTTTTCTCTCCCCTGGTCTCCTCACGTGCAAATACCTGGCTCTTTCACATCTTTCACCTAGTGTACAGCTTCCAGGCCATCTATTTCCAGCCCACTACAAAGTAATGTGTAAAAATCCCTTACATTAACCATGTGTGTGCACACAGTGTATGTATGTGTGTGTGTATACACATACACAAACACACACACACACAAATTCAAAGTGAGAGAAGGGATATAAACACATAATAGACTGACCAGCACTATTTGGGGGGGGGGGGTCGGGAAGAGCCTTAGAGGCTCCCGGCAGTTCTGGTTGATATGTTGAGTATATTTCACCCCGCAACCCAAATCTGTATCATTCTCAAACACAGTTTAAACAAAGAAGAGCCTTGATGCTTATTGAGGATTTGGATAACTACTTCACTGTTAAGAAGAGATTTTTTAAATTGTGTTTTCATTATGACTCCATATCCATTTATTGATCTAGGGATTTCTTGCCTCACTTAACTCCATAATCTGTTGCTCAGATTAAGAAAATCCAAAAACTACTGTTTGGTATCATGAGTATAGACTTTAAAGCGACACCTTGGAAGCTGGATGATTCAAATACTATAATCCAAGAAAAGCAACTAATTGATTATGCAGAACGTGTTTTTATGCATTACTCTTTTTTATGATCCAAGCATGCAATGAAATGAATCAGATTAAATGTTTTGTAGATGTGCTGTTATAGAAACAGGAGCTTGCTAGTGTAGTAACATCCAACAGAACACAATAAGAGGAGATGGGAAATAATATGTGTGAAAAGCCCTTAATAAACAAACATATAAGGCACTATTCATTCAACACATTTTGAGCATTTATTATATTCTTTTTTTATCTAAGAAACAATGCTAGGTACAGTAACTTCTCAAGTATTAGAAGGAGAAAAATGCCTCTTATTTCAGTATTTCCTTTCTTGCATCCCTGCTACCTAGTATATACCTATGGATATATACTTTGGGGATGAATGAGAGACCTGTACATTCAGTTTACCTTCTATCCTCCACTTTGCCACCCTGTTAGCCACTTTGTTCCTCATTAATTCTTCCTCCTGAAGGCTAACGGGGAAGGGAAGGAGGTGAACTTGAGGCCAGTCAGGCATGCTTAGCTCGCAAAGCAGTTAAATCTGAGTACAATAAACTTTAAAGACCGTCTAAATTCTGTGTCATTTAAGATTTTGTTCCATCCAACTGATTGAACAGGTCTGACAGTTAAGGCTTGAACAAACTTGAGATTGATATTTTGGTTAATAGTTATTATAATATCTGACCTGTCTCTGGAAGATTTTGTAGTAAGTTAAAGTGTTAAGAGTCTGTCTAGGTCTTCCCTGGTGGCGCAGTGGTTGAGAGTCCGCCTGCCGATGCAGGGGACACGGGTTTGTGTCCCGGTCCGGGAAGATCCCACATGCCGCGGAGCGGCTGGGCCCCGTGAGCCATGGCCGCTGAGCCTGCGCGTCCGGAGCCTGTGCTCCGCAACGGGAGAGGTCACAACAGTGAGAGGCCCGCATACCGCAAAAAAAAAAAAAAAAAAAAGAGTCTGTCTAAAGGACAAGGGAAGGGAACACTAATTTGCCCAGTACTTATTACATGAGAGACTCTGAGCTGTGCACTTTGCATTGCTTACCATTTTTATGGTTTACAATTGCCCAGAAAAGTAGAATGCCCATTTTATAGATGTGGAAACAAGCTCAGAGATACTCTGACCAGCCTCTCAGTTTGTAGGGAAAATGCTAACAGCCTCCAAAGCACAAGCCCTTTGCAAAGGGGGATTGGAGGCTGCTGGCAGTTTTCACTAACCTATGCTCTCCACACTTAACATGGGTAATTGAAAGCTGAGCCTATGTTCCTTTCAGAAATCTCCCAGGAATCTGGCTGCAGAGGTTTTATGGATAACTCATTTCAGCAACTGAGAAACAAAATGCGTTTGTGGAATAAAAAGTCTTTATTTCAATGAGGTTTTTTTTCTTCTTTAAAAGAGAAAAAGGAGCCACCCCCAGCACTTAGCAAGAACCCTCACAGAATGAACAAGTCTTCAGATTGGGCTGAGCAGACTACCGAGGAAATGGTGACAGCATCAGGGCACTTTGGCCTAAGATGTTAAAGAGACGATGTAATGAACAGCTGGGGATTTCTGAGGCACAACTGTGTGACACTGGAAGCCCAACTGTTGGCCATCTTCATTGAGGTCAGCTACCAAGCTCGGGGTTTGACTCGCCCTTCGCCCTCTTCAAGATGGGTGTCGCCAGCTGCCGCAGCGCGCTCTGCTGCCCGCGCCTGCCCGCCTGCCCGCCGAAGCCGAGGCGACCCGGAGGCTGCGGCGCCCCCACCCCACCCCCCGCGCCCCCGTCCCTGTGCACGTGACGAGGGGCAGTTTTCCTTCTCTCCTCCCCCTCACCGAAACCCCGCCTTCTCCTGAGAGGCTGCGGCTTTCTATTGCGCTACAACAGGAATGACCGACGTGCAAGCCAATCAGAACGCGACGCTTCAAGTAAGACCCGCCCCCTGTTGGTCCTCAGGTTCCTTCCCGCTCACACCGGAGTCACTTCCGAAGAGAGAGAACCGCCATGAAGAGAGAAGGGGGTGCCGCCCACCTCTGCTCCGACAGCCTCCCCGAGTCCCAGCAGCAAGACGGCAACCACGCACCCAACTTCTCCAGCCACAGCACATGCCGCCGTCGCCAGCGGCGCCGACATGACAAGGCGCTGCATGCCCGCTAGGCCAGGTTTCCCCTCATCCCCAGCCCCGGGGTCGTCGCCCCCGCGCTGCCATCTGAGACCCGGTAGTACCGCCCCTGCTGCAGCGGGAAAGAGAACAGAGAGTCCTGGGGACAGGTACCGTGCAGAGGGCTTGAGAAGGGGCCGGGTCGCGGGGGCAAGGGTATATGAGGGAGGACTGCGGACGGCCGCTCTTCCAGTTCCCGCCATCCTCCGCGAGCTCAGGCCTCCGCGTCCGGGGCCTGGCAAACCACCGCCCCGCCTCCGCGCGGGGGCTGCTGGGAGCTGGAGTCTTCTTTTCTGTAGTTGGGACGCTGTTCTTGGTCTAGTGACCACAGCCTGGATGGCTACGGACCACGCGCCTTAGGTAGAATGTGATTTTTGTCCTTTACTTTAGCTGGACCCGGGGCCCTGGCTGCTAAGTGCATATTTAAGTGGTTTTCTGTACGCTGTCAGTTTTACTGATCCTAGTGGTTGAATAGTATAAGCCTTTTCTGTATTGTGGGTGATATTATGTAAGATGTGATGAGGAAAATCCTTCCACGAATTGCTTTAAAGTCCACTACGCACGATAAGTCTTAATTTAAAAAACATGCAGATTTGGAATGTGATATGTTTTCTCCTTCAGTAACTTTACGCCTCTCCAAGAGGCCAGATTTTTTTGTAAAGATTTTGTGGGAGCTATGTAATGAGATGGGGAGTTTAATCAAATGACATCCTCTGACAATAAAACATGTTTAAATTCTCTACGCACTTGGTACTGTCTTTTTTATTTTAAGTTTGAAAGCTTGTAACATAAGTTTAACAGTAAATTTATCTTCAGATATTGTTGTACAGGTCCACAACCCCTTATCTTAATTCAGAAAGCTATGAAAATCCGAAGTTTTCAGTAAGTTTGGCACCACATCTAACTTGGCAGCCAAACCTGACCAGAACTAATGGAAGGCTATAGATGGTCTTTATCTCATTAGGTGTGAGTGTTCGTAAGTTTTTTGTTTTTTGTGTGTTTTTTTTTTTTTTCCGTAAGTTTTGCTGGAGAAATACTAATGTGTTTGCTTATAGGGTGCAGTCTCAGACCCCACTGGGGGCTTTACATAATGCATCCAAAAAAAAAAAAATTTAGAATTCTAAAGCACATTTGGCCCCAAAAGTTTCAGATAAGGGTTTGTGTGCTGTTACAAATAATTTTTTAATTAGTTATAATTAGTTTAGTTATAAATAAGTAATGGACCTTTCTGTGCATATGAACTTAGGGGACTGTTCTTTCTTGAAAGTCACATTCCTGGTTATTTTACAGGTTTCTTGTATGTTTTACCCAAAGCCATTTTTCTCTCAGGTGTATTAACCAAAAAGATGTAATACTTTAGGGAAGAGATACAGTGTTACTTTTAGTAATTAACATAAAAACATTCAGTATTGTTTTGAGTTAATTAGCTGCTTTTTAGTCCTTTCTCATGTCTGTCTATTCAACCAGTAACTGAAGGCATCATCCTTCTCCCCTTTGCAGACCTCTAGTATTTCTTCTTTTACCCTCTGATATAATTTATTTTATGAAAAAAATGCATAGATTCCCACTCATTCATTTCATAGCTGCTTAGCTTTTCTACCAGCATCTCAAACAGACATTGTGGACTCTCACTAAACCATTAAGAATGGGCATTGCTATTCTAATGTGGCAAGTAAAGAGTACAAGATGTAGAAGAAGAATAACCTTCAAAGGACTTGGATTGTTCAAGTTTCCTCTGAGCATTCCAAGCTCATAGTGGATAAATATTTAGGGAAATTCATCTACTGCTTATTTTCTTTCAGCTAAAATGAATACATTTTAGCAAAATTTGCCAGAAAGGTGATTTGTTGCTCAACCTATAATAACATCCCTCTATGCAGTTGACAACTCTAAACACATGAACAAATCAGAATACAAATTATGGTAATATGGTCCTACTTCACTTTGTGTTCATTGTAGGATGCAGAAATCCTTAAAAATTAAAAGTTTGGTTTTTGTTATTCTTGTTAACTTACTCCTTTTTCTCTGTTTTGTGTTTTTCCCAGGCAACGCATTATTTTCGTAAATATCTTAAGAATTCTTAGTAAAAAATTAAGATTTTGAAACACGATTCATTCCAGTTTTTGCTGTTACTTAGATTAACATTAACTGTATTGTATAAAGAGTATAATATAAGGTTAGAACTTGATCCTTTCTTTCTTTTGCCCAGCACACTCTTCATCTGCCTCTCCAGACCAGCAAAATCACCCATATTTGCCATTCTACCATCTACTCTTGTTATGAGTCTGTTCAGGTTTTACTTAGTTTTTATAATCTCCATTATTCGTTCAGCAAACATCTATTGAGCATTATTTTGTACCTGGCACTGGAGATATGAAGGAATAGGATCAGATCCCCTCAAGTTCTTTTCTTCTCCCACATAGCAACAAGCTTTTCAGTCCTAGGAAATACTCTACCAATTTCTTAGATCCACACTCTAGTCTTATCATTTTAGTACAATAGAGTATATAAATCTCAATACTGCTTTTATAAATTTACTCCTACAGGAAGTGCTGAATTTAATTTTTAAAATTTTTTATAATCAGTTTAGCAAAGCATTATTGTCATTGTCAGAACTTGATTAAACCAGATAGTGAAATTCAGCCTATAGTCTATAAATCTACTGATATTCTCCACTTAATCTGAATTATTGAAGTTTTAATATTTGCTAATGTGATCCCATATTAGTTATGCTTTTATTTTCAGGAAGCAGTCAATTATAGATTTCTTCAAACCAGCTTCAAAACAAGGTATGTATACTGTTAATGCATTTTTTGTGGGATCTTTTGGGGAGGAAGATGGAGTCAATTTTTAAATCTACTCTAAATTTATTAATTTGATTAAACATGGTGTTCAAAATAGAAAATATAAAGAAGATGCAGTGTTGTTTACAAAGATAAACAAGTTCTAAACATCATGAAGAAACTTTTTGCTGTTACGCTTTCTTAATTGAAAATATTCCAGTTAATAATGTTCATAATGTATACTATTTCGATTCTGTATTAAATTAACTTATTTCATAAGTGGAGCTATAGGGAGCTTACATGATGTAACAAAAGGGAGATTTGTGAAAGTAAGGCTATTAAATCATGTCTTAAATTCCCCCCCCAATAATATGTGTATCATTTAATTATCAATTTGAAAACTTTTGTGATAGTTTAATATTTTAAGTATAATAATTTATAATATACAAATGTAATAGTTTGTGCTATTTTTAATAACATACAATGTGTATGTGTTTTAATTGGCTATTTAGATAGACATATGTTGGATTCTCCACAAAAATCGAACATCAAATATGGAGAAAGTGGATTGTCCATCAGTGGGACAGAGCAGTTTGAAAGGAAACTATCCTCACCAAAAAGATCTAAACCCAAAAGGGTGCCATCAGAAAAGAGCCCCGTCTTAGAGGCATTCATGAAAGGTGTTAAAGAGCACCATAGAGATCATGGTGTACATGAGTCACGTCAGCCTTGTGTGTCACTGGCCACCAAATGTCCAAAGGCAGTTACAAAATACGTTCCTCCTTCATATCTCTTGTCAAAAGAGACGAAGAAAAAACATCAGTCTCCAGAGGGAAGGAAGTCACATTTCATTCATGAAAATAGCAGGGAGAAGAATGATGGAGATCGAGGCAAAATCAGTGCAGATTCTAAAAAGCAGGCCGCGGTGACAGAAGCTGACATCTTCAAGAACAGCTCCAGAAGTCTTAGCAGCAGGAGCAGCCTGTCCAGGCACCACCCAGGAGAAAGCCCACTGGGAGCTAAGTTCCAGTTGTCTCTAGCTTCTTACTGCAGAGAAAGAGAACTAAAGAGGTTGAGAAGGGAGCAAATGGAGCAGAGAATCAACTCAGAAAATTCTTTCTCAGCAGCAAGCACTCTTTCCTTAAAATCCTCTAGTATAGGAAGAAGATGCAAACCAAGGCAGGAACAGAGTAAACAGAATGATGTCACAGCCGGAAATAGTAATCTTTCAAACCTGGTATGTGCAATAAATGCTGAATTAGCTTGGCTACTATTTTATCATATTTAGATACTAAATCTAAAAATGTTTGATAATTGTTAAGAAACAGTTTGGTACGTTTTGTTAGGGAAATACTGATACACAGTTTGTATAGAAGCTAGTTTCATTAAATTCCCTCCAACTGTCCTTCAAACTTAGTAAAGCATTGTTTTTTGCCCATAATTTTTTTCAGACCAGGAACAAAGATCTTTCTTAATCAGGAAAGTAAGCATTTTTTTTGTAGACAAGTGCAGTCATTTTTAAGTTAGGCTACACTGAAGGGAGATTCTTGAGGGAATGGAAAATCTAAAACAACAGGAAATGGTTTAGAACAGAGGTTCTCAGAACGTTCCTTGGACTAGCAACATCAGCATCACCTAGGAACTTGTTAGAAATGTAGATTCTCAGGCCCCACTCCAAACCCAATGAACCAGAAACTGAAGTAGAGTCCAGCAATCTGCAATTAACAAGCCTTCCAGATTATTCCGCTGCACTTTAAAGTTTGAAAATCACTAGTTTAGGTTATATGTCTTAAGTAGTTGAGTATGGGTCTTAGAAAACTTAGAATATGATGAAAACTATCCAGATACATCTTAAGCTCATCAACCTTCTGTTTTGAGAATTAGCATAAAAGCTGTTCCTGTCCCCTGGAAAGTCAAGTTGTTAAGTACATCTGTTTCAGAAAGCTTTTCTACATACAGAGCAACTAAAGGAAGATGAGATATCAAGAAAGTGCTATGTTGATAAGATACTATGAGATTTTAAAATCAGATGGACCAAAAATAAACCAAACTATGACATTCTAAGAGTGAATGGAGTTGTATTTTATACTGCTGGAAAATTATATTTGTAAACTCATGGGTTTGTTTGCAAGGAAGTTGGTGCCTTTACCAGTGAGATTTGCTAATGATCAATAGAAGTTAGTAACATTTGGTCCATTTTCATAACATTTCAGTGTTTGGTGGTGTATCAGTACGTAAACAGAAGTGTTGAAGAGTTGTAGCTATTTGATAGGCAAATATTAGGCTATTTCTTTATTAAAATAATAGTACAGTACAGTGCTCTAATATTAATCTTGAGCTATTAATAAAAATTTCTAAATTTACATTATGAAAACTGACATTTTTACATATACAAATGTACTTCATTTTTATGAAAAGACTTAGGAATTTAAAATATTTTATTATAGAAGTTTGGGTTTACCTCCAAATTTGGTGCTTGTTTTATTCAGAGTAGAAATCTGTGTTTAAATATTATGAAGAAAAGTTCACATTCTTGACTGCTCCCAACTCCTAATTATTTTTTTCTCATTTTGCTAATAGGAAAATGGACCTCTCTCAAGAAAAAGATCCTCTTCTGATTCATGGGAACCTGCCTCAGGTAGAATCAAAATTAAATTTCAGAATTTTAAATAAATTTGCATCTTAATGGAACTGTTTTTTACTTAAATTTGTTTAAATATGCAGTTTCCTTCCTAGAGGTAAATTAGGTGTCTCAGATTAGTTAAAAGTTTGGTAATGTTATATTCAGAAGGAATAGTTCTTGAATTCAGTATGTGTAAACAGTGGTTTGTCTTGACTCTTCTCTGCCTTCTTCAAGAGTTCCTAACAATGTGCTTTTCATATTGGTACTCAGTGTTCTACTTCTGAATCCTTGGCTACATTAAGAAGCATAATCTTAAATTCTTGGAATTATGGACTGAGGTCTTGATATTATAGATGCTTTGTTTAAGTTTGAAACTGTTATCAAGGTCTAAAACTGTTTCTTAATTTTTCAAATACAAAGGTCCCTTTTTAATATCAAATTCAAGGACACCTACATGATATTAATTTGTACTTTCAGTAACTGTTGATTGAGAAAATACATAATAACAAACAGCTACTGTTAACTCAGTAATTCTTAAAGTATTCTTTTTAACTAGAAGATAGAACAGTGTAAAATTCAAACACCGCAGAAATGTATAACATAGAAAATGAAAGGCCCCCAGAAATGCCAACTGTTCAGAATAGTCTGGTGTATCAAATTTCTTTTTCTGCTATAACTGCAGACTTTGAAAAATGGGCTTTACAAATTTCCACAATCAGTAAGATACATTGGACATACTGATAATAGCCAACATTTATTGAGCACTTACTGTGCGCCATGCTTTTAATCATTTGATTCACATCCTTATAAGGTGGTTACTTTTAGAGATGAAAAAGCAGGTACAGAGAGACAGTTCTGACTCATTCTTCTTCAGGTTTCATGTAAAACTCTGTTTTTTATACATTCTAGAGGTGTACTGCATTTTGACCAAGTGATCTTGAGTCTTAAAATCCATCTGCAGCCAAGGCTGAAATCATATTTTACTATTGTAGAAGGACCTTCTAGGATAAAAGAATAAATTTGAGGTTTTATGTGTTGTTTTTTAATTTTAAAAAATTTTACAGTATTGTTGGTTTTAGTGATCAAATTTTAGTGGATTTTGACATTATAGTACAAGAACAATAATTTCTCAGCCATGAGCCATGAGATTGCTCCTGTACTGTGTTACATATTTGTAACACTAAATAAATGATCACTTTGCACTGAGGTGAATGGAAAACAAAATATCTTTAGGCTAGCTCTGCTAGTATAAGGGACCACTGGTGGTGGTGTTGCCACCCAGCTGTTCAGCATTTTTTTCTCTGATAATGACTAAGATAAAAATTCTCTTCAGTTCATGGGTTTGCAGATTTCATCAGTGGTGACTAAAGTAGTTTCCCATATACTGTTTCCCGCATTCTCGAACACTGCTTGAAAAGGATGCTTTCTACATATTTTCAGAGGCAGGTTTAAGATAATTGCCTTCACTTGTATTTTTATTTCTAATATGTTTGCATGTTTTCATAATCCTCATTAATAATTATGGTGTTGTAATCTTAGTAAACATACATTTATACTTCTGTTGAATATCAACAGAATATAAAGGGCATAAGGGGATTTTTCGCTCTAGATAACATGAACAATGTTTATCTTTATCTGATAGATAAATAATGAATAGATATTAATAATCCAAATATTATGTTTTATTTATATTACTGCTAATTACACTTAACAGTTGTGGTGATACACATAATCACACATTCATTAATCACACACAAGTTCAGGGATTTCAAAAATGTTGGTAGTGTAGGCATTTAGCTCTTTGGTCTTCCAGAGCCCTGTCCTTCGGCTGAATTCTGAGGACCAACTTAATCCCTCCCTAGTTTATTCCATAATTTATTAATAACCAATCCCCTATTGAGCATGTGGAGTTTTCCTTTTTTTCTTTTTACAAATTCAGTCCCTATCTTATCTGAGTATTTTATATATTAATAGATATTTGAAGTGTTGTAAAACAAACATTCAGCCTACAAGTTGTACAAGAAGTATGAAAAGAATCATGAAACGTTTACAGTTACATTACTGCCCTAGAGAGCTTGCAAAAGGAGACCTGTAGTACCAGTTCACTCTCCTCTTAACACTAGATGTTAAAAGCTCTTAATAAGCTGATTTTTCGGGCTCCCCTGGTGGCGCAGTGGTTAAGAATCCGCCTGCCAGTGCAGGGGACACGGGTTCGAGCCCTGGTCTGGGAAGACCCCACATGCTGCAGAGCAACTAAGCCTGTGCGCCACAACTACTGAGCCTGCACTCTAGAGCCCGCGAGCCACAACTACTGAGCCCGCGCACCTAGAGGCTGTGCTCTGCAACAAGAGAAGCCCGTGCATGGCAGTGAAGATTAGCCCCTGCTCGCTGCAACTAGAGAAAAGCCCGCACGCAGCAACAAAGACCCAATGCAGCCAAAAATAAAATTAATTAATTAAACAAAAAAACACCGTCCACTTTAAAAAAATAATAATAAGCTGATTTTTCCTAAACTTTGCCCACAGTTTTTCTTTCCTCCTAGGTAAGTCTTTACTTCTTAAACAAAGCAGGAATTTCCCCTCATTACTAGCTGTGTATAAATTGACTTCTCTAAGGAAATGGAGCAAAACTCAAATTAGCAGCTCTGTAGCTTTTTTGTAACCCCCAAACTTAAGATAATCAGTGTAAGTCTTCTCTTTTTCTTAGTTATCTGATTTCTCATCCTGCCCTATAAGGGACCTCTGTCCTTTTTTATAAGACATTTAACCCCAGAAAACTTAGTGGGCATGGAATGATTTCTCAGGTAATAAAAATATCTGTAGAAGAATATAGATAGGAGCATTTGTTTATTAATTGATTTTTCATTCTTATAAATTGAGTTTTCCAGAGTATGTATTGATCAGGTTATGCAAATAATTGCTTAACTCTCGAGGTTTTTTTGGTTTTTGTTTTTTAAATCAAGCTGTTAAGAATTTGGGGACGGGCGAGGGAGAGTCATGGACATGTACACACTAACAAACGTAGTAAGATAGATAGCTAGTGGGAAGCAGCCGCATGGCACAGGGATATTGGCTTGGTGCTTTGTGACAGCCTGGAGGGGTGGGATGGGGAAGGTGGGAGGGAGGGAGACGCAAGAGGGAAGAGATATGGGAACATATGTATATGTATAACTGATTCACTTTGTTATAAAGCAGAAACTAACACACCATTGTAAAGCAATTATACCCCAATAAAGATGTTAAAAAAAAAAAAGAATTTGGGGACATCTGTCCATGTGCAGAAAGAACTTGATTTAGGGAAATTTGATTTTGAGAATACTAGTTATATAAATAGTGAATTTTTAATGAATAATAAATTTTAAGAGTGAATTAATGAAACATCACATTTTTAAACACAGAAATTTAAAAAAACTGGTTAACTCAAATATATGTGCTTCTGGATGATATACATGCTTCTGGATGGAGCTCCTAACACAGAGACAGGTTGTATTAGTTTCCTAGGGCTGCCATAACAAAGTACCTAAACCTGAGTGGCTTAAAACAACAGAAATTTATTGTCTCATGATTCTGGAAGCTAGAATTCCCAAACTAAGGTTATCAGCAGGACCATGCTCTCTCTTAAAAACTATAGGGGACACTCCTTTTACTTGCCCTTCCAGCTTCCGGTGTTTGTCTACAATCCTTAGCATTCCTTGACTTGTAGGTGCATCACTCCAGTCACGTGGCATCTTCTTCCTATGTGTCTTCATATTATCTTCCTCCTGCATGTCTTTCTCCATGTCCAAATTTCCTCTTTCTATAAGGACACCAGTTGTATTGGATTAGGACCCACCCTAATGACCTCATTTTAATTTGATTGCCCCTATAAAGACCCTATTTCTAATTCAGGTCACATTCTGAGGTTCTGGGAGTTAACACTTCAACATATCATTTTGGGAGCTACAGTTCAACCTATAACACAGCTGAAGACTAGAGGGATACATGGGAAAGAATAAAAAATTTAATAGTAGGGAAAAAGACTTAGGGGAATTTTTTTAATTGAGAAATTAAAATTTTTCTGCCTTCAACTAGTTATTGTGTATGTGTTTTAAGGTACTATAAATTTAGATGTAAAAGTGTTAGATTTCTAGAACCAGGTAGGCTTTAGTCTAAGAAAGAGTATATGCACTTTGAGGAAAAGTGCCTTTAGGATCCTTTCCTTGTTACAGATACGCAGTGTTTTGGGGTGTAACACCTCTAATTCTATTTAGGTGGTAAACTTTTAATAGCTTTTGAATGAAAATGAGCATTTGTCATTAGCTTTGGACTAAATTTCGTGGACACTAGTATTTATCAGTTAATAAATAAAATATTAACTCTGTTTCCTCATTCCATATGTGGTTAATAATCTCAGCCTAAACTTTTAGAATTTAAACATTTTGTCAGGGTATTCTAGACACTTACTGAATAAACTTTAATAAGATAGGAAAGTATACTTTTCACTAATCTGGCAAAAATTAAATTTTAGCAGGCTCTAAGCAGAATAAATTCCCTGACAAAAGAAAAAGGAACTCTGTGGACTCAGATCTGAAAAGCACAAGAGAATCTATAATGCCAAAAGCAAAAGAGTCCTTCCTTGAGAAGCGTCCTGATGGACCACATCAGAGAGAAAAATTTATAAAGCATATTGCACTGAAGACACCTGGTGGTGTATTGCGCTTGGAAGATATATCCAAGGAACCGAATGAAGAAGCTGATTGCTCCTCTGCAGGCTTGACACCTTCAAATACTGGGCACCATTCTTCCAGGAATAGTGACCAAATTCGTGTGGCAAGTACCAAAGAGACTAAGATACAGAAACCCCACTTACCTTTACCTCAGGAAAAGTCTGCAGTTAAAAAAGCTAGCAACCTTCAGAAAAATAAAACTGCTAGCTCTGTGGCATCACAGGAGACAAAACTTCTACCTTTACTATCCCATGTTCCAAGTGCTGGTTCCTCTCGGGTTCCATTAAATGCTAAAAATTGCACTCTTCCAGTTCCTAAAAAAGATAAAGAGCGTTCCTCATCTAAAGAATGTTCTGGGCATTCTACAGAGTCCTCCAAACACAAGGAACACAAAGCAAAGACTAATAAGGCTGATTCTAACGTATCTACAGGGAAAATTTGTGGGGGATCTTTGCGTTCAGAATATGGCACTCCTACAAAGTCTCCCCCGGCTGCTTTGGAAGTTGTGCCATGTATTCCGAGCCCAACAGCACCTTCAGATAAAGCCCCTTCAGATAAAGAGAGTTCAGGAAATTCCAATGCAGGTAGCAATGCACTGAAAAGAAAACTAAGGGGTGATTTTGATAGTGATGAAGAAAGTTTAGGTTATAACCTAGACAGTGATGAGGAAGAGGAAACATTAAAATCACTGGAAGAAATAATGGCTTTGAACTTCAATCAGACTCCTGCAACTACAGGAAAGCCTCCTGCTCTTTCTAAGGGGCTTAGATCTCAGTCATCAGACTATACAGTAAGTAGTTTTATGATATTTATCTTTACTTGAAGAGAGAAAGATGGATTGACTAGTGAACGAGGGATAGATTGTTAGAACTTACTTTAAAATTCACTGTTTGTTACAATTATAATTAGACTGAAAGTGGTATAGTTCTTTTTTGGTTAATGGATTTCCCATATCTTCAGCTTTATAACTGTAAATCAGTGGTCTCCAAACTTTTTTTGATCACACACACTTTTATTAGTAAAAAAAATTTTGAGCATGTACCCCAATATATATGTATACTTATAGATTATATACCTGTACTACTATACTACTATGTACTTTCTGAAGCATATGAAGAAAACAGAATTTGAAAGGAAGAAGAAAAAAGTATTTTCCTATATAAGTTATATAGAAGTTACAATAGAGTAAGTTCTACTGGAGTTTCTATAGAAGTTCCATATAAATAGAAGTTCTATTATTTTCTTCCTGCACCCCAATGGATCACCTTGCACACCCCCTGCTTTGGAGACCACTGCTGTAAATGAAGGTAGAGTGTAGAAATGTTGTTAATTGTGGTGTGCAATTTTATTTATAAAGTGCTTCATTCTATCTTGGGAATAAGCTGAATTAAATTCTCATGTGTGTAAAATATTGTGGGGAAGGTGTTAATGTTTCATGGTAACACCTAAAAATTAGTAGTTTAATTCCACTAAAATAGAATTTAAAAATAAAGACAGGGTAGCTATGGAGCCCTTGGGTGTTAACAGTCAGTTCCTAAGGCTAGCAGGGTTTTTATAAGTAGTGCCTTTCCTAATAGATGGTAAAATCAAATTGCCTGCAGTACAAAATTCTAGATTTAAAGCATGATGGTGAAAATTATCTTTTTAAGAAAGATATCCTCCTGGCCCAGGTTATTGAAATAGAAAATATTTTTTAGTCTTCTGAATAATTTAAAACATCCCAATTCTTCTACTAAGATACGTTATAAAGTATTGCCAAATTTTCTTCTTGTTTTAGGAACATGTTCATAGTGGAACTTACACAAATACTTTAGAGCGTCTAGTGAAGGAGATGGAAGACACACAAAGGTAGGTTGGCATCGTGACTGTCTTGCTAAATTTAACATACTGTTTGTTTGTATGGCTGGCTTTTAATTTACCTTAAAAAAACATGAGAAATTAGCATGTATTTTGTGCTAGTGCTATTATAACAGTTTTGCTGTCAACTATGTTAGAAATAAGGTGTTCTTATTTACAGGCTGAATCAAAAGATCCTGGTTTTTATGGCATACTGCATTAATTAATAGTATGAATTCCTTTCTACTTATCACAGCTGGTATCTGGTAGCTGAAGTTCTTGATCAAAAGTATGGGTAGGAATTTTTTGTATTTTTTTTATTGTGACAAAAATACATAACATAAAATTTACCATTTCAATCATTTTTAAATGTATAGTTCACTGGCATTACCATACATTCGCATTGTTGTGCAACCATCATCACCATCCATCTCCAGAACTTTTATTTTCCATCTTCCCTAACGGAAATTTTATACCCATTAAACAATAACTCCCTATTCTCCCCTCCATCTAGCCCCTGGCAACTACCACTCTTTCTGTTACTATGAAATTGACTATTCTAGGTACCTCATATAAATGGGATCATACAGTATTTGTCCTTTTATGACTGGCTTATTTCACTTAGCATAATGTCTTCAAGGTTCATCCATGTTGTAGCATGTGTCAGAATTTCCTCTTTGAATTTTTGAATTTATTTTTTTATACAACAGGTTCTTATGAGTTATCTATTTTATACATATTAGTGTATATATGTCAATCCCAATCTCCCAGTTCATCCCACCACCACCACTCCCCCCGTCATTTTCCCCCCTTGGTGTCCATATGTTTGTTCTCTACATCTGTGTCTCTATTTCTGCTCTGCAAATGGTTCATCTGTACCATTTTTCTAGGTTCCATGTATATGCGTTAATATACAATATTTGTTTTTCTTTTTCTGACTTCACTCTGTATGACAGTCTCTAGATCATCCACATCTCTACAAATGACCCAATTTCGTTCCTTTTTAAGGCTGAAAAATATTCCACTGTATGTATATACCTCATTTTATTTATGCATTTATCTATTGATGGACGCATTTGGGTTGCTTCTGTTTTTTGACTACTGTAAATTTTGCTGCTATGAACACGGGTGTACAAATTATCTCTTCAAGTACCCACTTTAAGTTCTTTTGGGTATATACCCAGAAGTGGAATTGCTGGATCATATGGTAATTCTATACATAATTTTTTGAGGAATTGCTGTACTGTTTTCCATAGTGGCTGTACCATTTTATATTCCTACCAGTAGTGCACACGGGTCCAGTTTCTCTACCTCCTCACCAGCACTTGGTTTTTCTGGTTTTTTAATGATAGCCATCCTAACAGGTATGAAGTGGCATCTTCATACTTGTTAAACATTCGTATGCCGTCCTAGTCCAAGTTTTGAAATGAGTATAACCAGAAGTGGTATTTCTACATCAAATTACTCTTTTGAGGAAGAAGTTTAGAATTATTACTGATAACCCCACCCCCACACACACATATAGAAATCAGAAAGTTTGGGCATTATAATAACCCCAATGAAATTTATGTAACTAGTTGCAAACTGCTTTTGCTTATGAGAGGGGAAAAATAATATTCCTTATTAGTTCAAAGACTATCCTTGAAACTAATGCAGAGAAATTCACTGAAAACTCAGTTGGCTTGAAGTTGGTATATATGTGTCTTTAAGTAGCTAAGCATAGGAATTGCAGACTAAGTGAGGAGTATTCCCCTTTCTGAATTTAACTAGAGAAATTTGTCTCTACTATAAAATTCTTTTTTTTTTTTTTTTTTTTTTAGCTGCACTGTGCGGCATGTGGGATCTTAGTTCCCCAACCAGGGATGGAACCCGTGCCCCCTGCAAGGGAAGCATGGATTCCTAACCACTGGACTGCCAGGGAATTCCCGTCAACTGTAAAATTCTTTAAAAGTTTCATGAATTCATGTGATTTGTGATGTCAGATCTGAAATTGCTTATTTAAAATTGAACACTGCACAGACCAAAGGCAGAGGTTCTAGTTTTTTGTTGTTGTTGTTCTTTTGTGGTACACGGGCCTCTCACTGCTGTGGCCTCTCCCGTTGCGGAGCACAGGCTCCGGATGCGCAGGCTCAGCAGCCATGGCCCACGGGCCCAGCCGCTCCACGGCATGTGGCATCCTCCCGGACCGGGGCACGAACCCGTGTCCCCTGCATCGGCAGGCGGACTCCCAACCACTGCGCCACCAGGGAAGCCCAGAGGTTCTAGTTTGATCTGATGATTAACTCTTTCCTGTAGTGATAGAGCAGTGCCTTTACTGGTCATTTACTGTTGTATTATACTCATCTACTGTGGAGCTGGAGCTAGGAATAAGGACCTTGGTTAAAGTAAGTTAATCTTGGCAAGCAATATAAGCAAGGACTCCAGAGCTAAACTCTCTGGCTTTGAATCCCAGCTCCTTACATTGTGAGCTTGAACAAGTAAGCTTTTCTAATGCCTGTTTCCTCGTGTATGAAATGGGTAATAATCTACCTCATGGAATTGTTGTGAGGGTTAAAAGAGTTAATACATGAAGTCCTTGGTACGGTGTCATAGTAACTGCTTAGTAAGTGTTGCGTGTTGTGATAATCATAGTGACAATGGTGATGACTGCTGCTTCTAGAAAGCCTAGTTAACGTTATCAGGTTGTTGGTCTACTGGAAGTCCAATGAGCATTAAAGATTAGAGGGATAATCAAATCAGTGGTGTTTATTCTTTGTGATTTTTCCTCCCCCGATCTCTAAATGATTTGGACATCATTCTTGAAGTCCTAGCCATAAAGAAATATTCAGATCTTTTAATGAGAGTTTTCTTTGGTGCTGCTTTTAGACAGACCCTAGAAATAAAAAAATCTTTAAGCCATTTATTATAACATTCTTTCGATTCTCAGGCTAGATGAACTGCAGAAGCAACTACAGGAAGACATAAGGCAGGGCCGAGGCATTAAATCTCCAATCAGAATTGGCGATCAAGACAGTACAGATGATGAAGATGGCCTCTTAGAAGAGCACAGGTATGTGGGGAATATAGTAAATAACTGTATAATATCTTTGTAAACAGTGGTGTATCATAACTAGACTTATCATGATGATCATTTTACAATGTATAGAAGTACAAAATCAATATGATGTTGTGTAATAGGAACTAACAGTGTTGTAGGTCAGTTATACTTCAAAAAACAAACTCAAAGAAAAAGATCAGATTTGTGGTTACCAGAGGCAGAAGGTTTGGGGCAGGGAGGGATTGAATGAAGGTGGCTAAAATGTACAAACTTCCAGTTATAAGATAAATAAGTACTAGGGATGTCATGTACAACATGAGAAATATAATTAACACTGCTTTATGTTGTGTATGAAAGTTGTTGAGAGAGTAAATCCTAAGAGTTCTCCCCACAAGAAAAAGATTTCCTATTTCTTTAATGTTGTATCAATATGAGATGGTGGATGTTCACTAAACTTGTGATAATCATTTCATGATGTATGTAAGTCAAATCCTTATGCTATATATTTTCAACTTAAACAGTCTGTATGTCAGTTATACCTCAATAAAACTGGATAAGTAAATAAAATCAGAGGAAAAAAGAGCACAGGTACAGCATTTTTCATGATGTATGCTGTATTAAAAATACATTTTAAAATTTTGTTTTCGTAAAATAAATGAGCCATTGACGGTTATTTACTCTGTGAATAATCTATGGTGGGTTTTTAATCCATCTGGGGTGGATTTGAAAGGCAGATTTTAAGGCCAAGTTAGATTTTTTGTCTTTTCTCCTTTTCACACAGACACATTTAGTGGCTTTGGACTATAAATATTCAATACTAGCAAAAAGTGGGAGAGCAGAACATGTGTTCTCATGTTCATCTTCTAATGTGGGATTAATAGTGGTCCTAAGAAAAGGGTTTTTTGCAGCCAATCTTCAAATACAAAATTATATGCAGTATAACTGTTCAGTATTCAATAACTTCTTTTTTTCAGAGAATTTCTAAAGAAATTTTCAGTTACAATTGATGCTATTCCTGATCATCATCCAGGCGAAGAAATATTTAATTTCCTTAATTCTGGAAAAATTTTCAATCAGTATACCTTGGATTTAAGAGACTCTGGTTTTATCGGACAAAGTGCTGTAGAAAAGCTTATTCTTAAGTAAGTAGGAAAATAGACATTTAACTTTTTCTTGTATAAAAATTGAAAGGTTTCTGACTGATGTAATCTTCTGAAAGGTTAATTTCTATTCTGACCTATCCAGTTTCCTCATCCTCTAACTTATTACTGTTGCTCTTTGTGTTTTATTATTTAGTTATAGGAAGCCGTGTAAGATAGTCGCTTGGCATATTACATGCCTTTATTAGTTAGGGTTAAGATCAGTATCTAGTAACAGTGACTGTCAAAATAACAAGGCTTAGGGAGGCGCAAGAGGGAGGGAATATCAGGATATATGTATACATATAGCTGATTCACTTTGTTATATGGCAGAAACTAACACAACATTGTAAAGTAATTATACTCCAATAAAGATGTTAAAAATAAATAAATAAAATAACAAGGCTTAAACAAGAAGTATATTTCTTTCTGATGTGGAAGAAGTTCAGAGGTAGGAAGTCCAGGGCTGGTGTTTCACCATATAATCTTTCTTCCCCACCATCCTTAGCACCTGGTTGCTTCAGGTGCTACTGGAGCTCCAGCCTTTAAATTCCCAGAAACCCCACACAACATTTCTACTTATGGTTAGTTGGGTAGAACTTAGTCAACATGGCCACACCTAGCCACAAGGAAGGCTGAGAAGTGATTTTCATTTCAGGCAGCCAGTGTGCCCAGCTAAAAACCCCAGGGTTCAGTTACCAAGAGGAAAGACAAGAATAGATGTTGGGATTAACAGTCTCTACCACAGTACCCAAACTGGTCTAATTTCTCTCAGTACGTGATAGCTCAGATCCAGACAGATCACATTAATTGTGGTGCTAAGTTTTATGGAAGTACAAACCCAGTCTGGCAAAAGCAGATGATGCTCTGAGACTTGATAGGCTCTTCAACACTGCCAGCTACTGTAGATTTGTCCACCAGATAAATCTGGAGCCAAGCCAACAGATTGGTTCAGCTTTAGGCCACTGATTGAATTTCTAATGAGTAACCCATCCACATTGGGGTAGAGTCCACCTCCACGGACTACGATGGTTTGCTTGCTCATTTCCCTGATTATGTCAGATGTGGTGGTAGAAGTTTCTTGCCATGAAGATAACAGTCATATTGATTTCACTGTATTTTTTCAGATCAGGAAAAACAGATCAGATTTTTTTGACAACACAAGGCTTCCTTACCTCTGCTTATCACTATGTCCAGTGTCCTGTACCTGTGTTAAAGTGGCTGTTTCGGGTAAGAGAAATATTTGGGGGGTATAGTTGCCTCTTTCTATATTTCCGAGTCAAAAATAAACTTTTAAAATATAATCTTATTTGCACATTACTAGAGAAAAAATCTAGCATATCAAACCCATGATTTTAGTGGGCTAGAATGAAGCAAAAAGAGTCAGTATAAAGAGATTATAAAAGAAATGCTGGGCTTCCTTGGTGGCTCAGTGGTTGAGAGTCCGCCTGCCGATGCAGGGGACACGGGTTCGTGCCCCGGTCTGGGGAGATCCCACATGCCACGGAGCAGCTGGGCCCGTAAGCCATGGCCGCTGAGCCTGTGTGTCCAGAGCCTGCGCTCCACAACGGGAGAGGCCACAAGAGTGAGAGGCCCGCGTACCGCAAAAAAAAAAAAAATAGAAATGCTGGGGGGCTTCCCTGGTGGCACAGTGGTTGAGAGTCCGCCTGCCGATGCAGGGGACACGGGTTCGTGTCCCGTCCGGGAGGATCCCACATACTGCAGAGCGGTTTGGCCCATGAGCCATGGCCACTGAGCCTGCGCGTCCGGAGCCTGTGCTCCGCAACGGGAGAGGCCACAACAGTGAGAGGCCTGCGTAACGCAAAAAAAAAAGAAATGCTAATGCAGATAGTGTGCAGGATAGGCAATAATGCTAGTTGTGCCTAAGTCGTTTCATCACACTGGTAAATCACTATTGTAGTTTGCTTTAGAAGAAGTCTTCTAATGCTTGTGTACCTGGGGGGATTTTTTTCTACCTTTTCCCCCCTATTTTTGTGGAGGTGCCTACATACATTTTTAGGATTTGACTTGTATACTGATATTTCCCCATTCATAACTGGGTGCGGGGAGCGCAAATCCAATTGAGTATTTCTTTTCCCCATTTGTATTTAACTTTTAAATGCACTTAAGTAAATAATTTTGTATTATCTACATGGTAACTTTATAAATATCAGTGGTATCAGAGAACTGTAACTACTCTATATATGTGAAGTGAGAAGTGGGAAAAATATATGCAGTTTCTATTCTGGGCTTTAAGGTTACATTTCAAAGAATCTCATATTTGCAAGAGCTATATATTCCAATATAGTTTTTCATTCATTTTTCATATAGCTGCCATGTTTGAGTGCCAACTGTGCCAGGTGCTGGAGAGAACAGCAATTTAAAAAATCAGTGTTTCTGATTTCATGAAACCCACATTCTAGTATAGAGGAGATAGACAATAAACAGGTGTGTGTATGTTTATAGATATGTCAGATGGTAAATGGGAGAAGGGCATTCTAGGCAGAGAGAATAACAGGTGGGACAGACTGTGGGGCAGGAGCATTTGCTTCCAGTTGTTAGGAGCTCACTACTTGGATCCCAGTGATTTTTTTTTTTAAACAGTCCTAATTAAATCAAAATTTGCCTCCAAATGGTTTTTTAAGTAGTAGTACTAATTATCTTTTCTATAGCTTCCCACAGTATGCCTCATCTGTCTAACAGTCCTTCAGTTAAACAACTATCATGACCCTCATTACTCCCCACACTAAACTTTCTCGAGTCACTAAATATCCAGTCCCTTTACTGATCACCTTTCTGAATGACCTTTAGCTTGTCAGTTTCCCTCCTAAAGTGTTCCTCCTTCCCCCCAGTAAATGAATATATGCTCCAGATAAGGTCTTTCCTACCAGCAGTTTCCAGCAAGGCTCTTACGCATCTACCCCCGCCCCCACATATTTGTTTATTGTGATTCAAAACTTCATTTGTTGTCACACCAGGACTTCATTATTCTCTAATTATGTAATATATCTTTTCTTAAACTTACAAGTAGGACTTTGCATTTATCTGTTTTCATCTTGTTGGTGAGGGCCCATCATTATAGCCTTTAAAACCCTAATGATGACATACAAGCATATCTTCATGTAAGCAGCTTTTTATACTCTTTATATTCTTTGAAAAGCAAACTAATAATCATTTGTTAAGTGCTTTTTCTGTGTAAGACACTTTGTCTCATTTCTCCTTTTCAATTCCAAGTCCATTTTTCATGATGGAGAGACTTACCAACTTACAAGTTTTTTTTTTTTATAAAATATATCAGAATTCATTTTAATGCTATAGTCCTGATAATTTGAAATTTAATTGTAATGTAATTGAAATGTTTGCATCTTAATGATTTTATCATGTGTCTAAACATAGTTGACCAGAAAGACAATGTGAACAGAATATGTGCTGTTTTATAACTTTTTTTTTTAGGTAACAATAAATTATTGAGTATTTTCATCTCAGTATAGACATGTTATCATTCTTTTTAATGGTTTTATATTGTAATAGTAATAGTATTCCTTTGTAGTGCTGTACCATGATTTATTTATTTAAGCCAATCTCAATTGACAGACATTAGATTGTTTTATATGTATGTATGTATCTCTTTACATATTTATTTAGCTTCACGTACTGTAATGCCCACCTTAAAATTCATCACCCCCCACAAAAAGATTCTTATGCAGAACTTGTCCTGTGTCCAACATGGCTTTGAATGGTGCTGCCCCTAGTGGCAGAGTGTAATGACTCAAACATCATAGCAAAGACATTTTTTCACATAGGTTGACTTGGAAATGACTCAAGTTATATGCCTGATTGAAACCAGAGTTTGGGCTGTTCACCCTTATATTTTAGATTTAAATTTATTATAATCATAATCCATGGTTTCACAACAAAAGAGAAATAGAAATACACCATGTTTTTCTCTATAAAACCACTTTAAAATAACTTTCAATATGTTATGATTTTTTAACGTCTTTTAAACTTGAGATTTTGTTCCCAAAAAGTTGTCTTGTAAAATTACATTCATTATATGCTTCTGTATATAAATTCCTGTACGTTAAAAAGGCTGAGTAGGGCTTCCCTGGTGGCACAGTGGTTGAGAGTCTGCCTGCTGATGCAGGGGACACGGGTTCGTGCCCCAGTCTGGGAAGATCCCACATGCTGCGGAGCGGCTGGGCCTGTGAGCCATGGCCGCTGAACCTGCGCGTCTGGAGCCTGTGCTCGGCAACGTGAGAGGCCACAACAGTGAGAGGCCCGCGTACCGCAAAAAAAAAAAAAAAGGCTGAGTAGATCAAAGTGTAAGGACAATGATTTTGCATAAACATTACCAAATGACTTTACAGTTTTTACCAAATTACACTCATACTGGACATACTCCCTCTTTCCTAGTACTCTTGTGAAAACTGGGTATTATGAAAACTCTTAATCTTTACCAGTCTTGAAGTCAGCTGATGATATCATGTCATTTTTCTTTGCATTTCTTTGATTACTAGTGATACTGAATAGCTCTTAAAAATATACATTGGTCTATTAATTTGTATATTTGTATCTTTTCAAATATTTTTACTAGTTTGTGGTTTGATTTTTGCCTGTGATGTGATCAATTTAGTAGCCTTCTCCTTTATGGTCTTTGGGTTTCATGGCATAATATGAACTAGAAAGGTATTTTTGATAGTTTTTAAAGTTATATTTATCTAATTGTAGATGAAAGTTGTAAAAAAGAAAAATCAGCATATTAGAATGGAAAGGGCTCTGACTTACAAATCAGACCTGGATTTAAATTCCAACTCATGTATTATGTTGGGTGGAGTATGTTCATCTCTCTGAGCCTCTTTGCTCTTTCTTCTCTCTTAATACTCTATCATTTATCTACTTTGGCAGATGATGTCAGTTCATACAGACTGTATTGTGTCTGTGCAGATTTTAAGTACATTAATGGAAATAACAATAAGAAATGGTGAGTAGATAAATTTATTGAGATTAACAGTGTGAATTATTGGTTGCTTTGTACATGAACTCTTTTGTATTACTAAACAATTAGGATATTTGGACATATAGAATAAAAAATTATTTTTGTAATATAAAGACTTTAATAATGAAATGAAACTCCAATAAAAAATGAGTGCATTTTTCTAGTTGCATTGAGAAAAAGGGTATAAGATCTTGCAAGTGGCATCCCTTACCTAGTTTTTACCAAGACATAGCTTACTGTGCTGAATAAGTGGAAATAGTTGCAAGTTTATTTAGCCAATTAACTTTCATGGCTTTTTGGTGAGCAACAGTATTGTACTGATTATGCACTGAGAAGATTGAAAGTATCCACTGCAAAACTATGACACTTGCATTCTTACCTGTGAGATCCCTTATAATGAAACAAGCATTGTGATTTACCTTTTTCACTTGTTTTAAGGCTTGGGACTATATAGGCACTGAACATGGTAAAATCTTTGTGTTAGCAGTAGTTGGTTTTTCACTGTTGTTATTTTCCAGTCTTCTGAAAATGTTCCTCCTGAGTTACACCCTTTTATCCATCACTTGCAGATATTTTGTTCATAAATGTCATTTCCTTCACATTTATTTGAAAATCTGTAATTCCTATATGATCATTCTAAATAACTATATGGTTAACATATCATTACCAGCTGCCATTTCTATAAAATCATAGTAATAATCCATGTTTCATGTGCAGACTGTCATCTTGCAACTATGGGTTTGTGAACCCAGGATTTGGGATAAAATATTTTCTTCTGTTAACTAGATACCTTCAGTGATTCACCAGTTTGGCCTTGGATCCCATCATTGTCTGATATAGCTGCTGTGTTTTTCAATATGGGAATTGATTTTAAATCTTTGTTCCCTCTGGAGAATCTTCAGCCAGACTTTAATGAAGATGACCTAGTGTAAGTGTCCTTTTCATAATTAACTCCAAAAATTGTCTTTTAAACAATTTATATATAAACAGTTAATATTCATTTGATAAATTCAGTATTCATGCTTGATTTTTTTTAAAACTTAAAGTTGAAACGGATCTTGAATTAGATATATTCTTAACATCTAACTTAATCTAAATGCCATCAGCATGTTTAACAGGGAAGAAATGGGGACATTTTTTAAATTAAAAAAAATTTTTTTAAATAAGACTGCCTATTGTTGTTTACCATTATTTTGGAGCTACTGGCCAAAACAATTAGACAAGAAAAAAAAAGAGATATAAAGATAGGAAATTAGTTGGTGAAAGATTCATTATTTGCAGAAAAAGTGATTTAATGTATACATAGAAGCCTAGGAATCAACTGAAAAGCTATGGCAAACCAGTAAGAGAATTTGGTATGGATGCCAGGGTACAATGTTAATAAAGAGAAATTAGTAACCTTAAGGTATATGAACTGTAGCTAGTTAAAAGATACACTTCATTTGCAATAGTAAGAAAAATATATTAAATACCTTGGAATAAACTTAAATAGAAGTGTGTGTGTGTGTGTGTGTGTGTGTGTGTGTGTGTGTGTGTGTGTGTAAAAACATTACTAAGAGACAAAAAAGAAGACCAGATAGGAAAATTCAGCATCATAAATACATTAGAGCTACCCCTGAGGTAAACTGTGAACTTGATGAGATCCTAATAAGAAATGAAACTAACACAACATTGTAAATCAACTATACTCCAATAAAATTAAAATAAAATAAAGAAATGCCAGTCAGATTTTTGTGGGGACGAGGGGAGTTGGGACTGTACAAGTGATTCTAAAGCCATATAGAAAAAATACCCAGGAAAGTTTTGAGAAAGAAGAGTTATGAGGTGGGACTGACCTTAGCAGATAATAACGTGGGACAAATGCAGATAGATATTCATAGCTCCATCAGTGGAACAAAATAAGTCCAGGGCCAACTATACTTTATACGAGGATTTTGACTTTGCGGCAAGTGGGTGCCCCGACCCCTGCATTGTTTAAGGGTCAAGTGTAGGGACTTCCCTCGTGGCACAGTGGTTGAGAATCCGCCTGCCAATGCAGGGGACACGGGTTCGATCCCTGGTCTGGGCAGATCCCACATGACACGGAGCAGCCAAGCCCGTGCACCACAACTACTGAGCCTGCACTCCTAGAGCCCGTGAGCCACAACTGCTGAGCCCGCATGTCACAACTACTGAAGCCCATGCACCTAGAGCCCTTGCTCCACAACAAAGAGAAGCCACCGCAGTAAGAAGCCCATGCACCGCAATGAGGACCCAACACAGCCAAAAATAAATACATATATACATACATACAAAAAAAAGGGCAAAATAGGGTCAACTATATAAGAATGGAACTCTGGTCACAAACAAAGGCTTAATTTCAAATTAATAAAAAGATCAATAACCTATTAGAAAAATGGGCAAAGGAAATAGGCAGAAAAAGAAAAATTAAAACAGTTCTTAAACTTTATGAGAATATTCTCATCTTCACTTTTTCAAAAAAAAAAAGCAAATTTTTGTTACTTGGTATATCCAGAACCAAACTCTTCATCTCTCCATTTCTTTCCACCCCATACAGGATCCCTCCTTGTTGCTCAGATATAACCTGTATCTGAAAATATGTTGGATAGCAAATTTTCACATAAAGAGTGTAGTCCATCATCCATCCTATTCCATTTAAATAGGAAAAATAATGCTTTCTCAGACCGTTCAAAAACCCCAAACATGACCAAAATACTCAAATACCTATATTTAGAAAGTTAAAATACTATTTTATTATTTAACATTTAATGAACTGAATAGTGTGTGGTGAATTTTTATGTTGTATGCAACAGATTTGTTTTCCTTTCTTCACTGTAGTGAACAGGTACTGTAGTGGAAATAGTGAAATAAAGATATATAATTATTTCATTAAGACATAATAAATGCAAATAATATTTAGCAAAATTGTTTTTTTGATTGATTATTAACCAACTGAAGAGTTGCCTCAGTCAGGTTTGGGAGCCGGGATATGGTGGCTGTAAGTCACCACCATTGCTGTGTAGTGGTAGGCAAAGATGAACACAGGTAAGCAAGAGTAAGCTGGTGAAGGAATCAGCGAAACATAATCAAATACCTGTTTAAACAACATGAGCACGAGAGTGAATTCTGTTGAAATATCACAACTGACTCTTCTCACTAGGACTCACATGCAGCTTATCCATTTTTGCTGGTATATATGTGCATGTTCACAGTAGCAAGTTGCTATCCAAATGGGAGGTTTGGAGTGAAAAATGTTTAAAGGTTGTTAGAGTAAATATTCAGGTGGGGAGAGTAAGATGTTAAAGGATACTAGGACAGTTCTTTTCTTTACCATTATTCTGCAGGAAATACAGACCTAGTCCTAACCTCTTTCTAGTCTGTATTCCATCAGTTGTCACATCCCTGTGTTCCTCTTCCTCTACCTATCTCACAACTATTCTTGCCTTTTCATTCCCGGTGTCAGTCTAACTCAGATCCTCGTTTCATGCCTAGCCTGGCAAAAATCTCCTTTTCCGTGGGGGCTTTCCACCTCCAAGATATTTATTCCTTTCATTGTTACAGGATTCCTTTTATGAAAGCTTTTTTCTCCGCTAGTAAACCTTTACACCTGTATTTAAGACTCTACAGTTGACTCTGACCTGTTTTCTGTTTTGTTCACCCTGTTGTTCTAACCAAATTGATTCTGTTGCTGTTCCTCCACATTAGCCATTGCTGCATGGGATCTTCCTCATGCTAGTCCCTCACCTCCATCCTCAGTGTCTGCTCACCAAAATTATCTGTCTCACTTGTTGAAGCACTGTTTATAAGAGTAGAATTACGAACATTACATATTGTTTACTATGTGCCAGACATGGTTCTGGGGGCTTAATGTAGAGTACTTCATTTAATAGTCACTACAACTACTAGATAGTTTTTTCATTCCCATTTACAGGTGAGTGAGGCACAGAAAGATTAAGTAACTTGCCTGAGGTTGTATAGCTAGGAATGGACACAGGACTACTGAGCAGATATTTTAAAAAATAAAGTTCTTCCCATGTAGTTATAGGAGTATCTCTAAGACATATTAAATGAAGAAAGAGAGGTGCACAACAGAGTGTATAGTATGCTACCATTTGTATTAAAGCAGTGGGGAGTGTATTCATATTTATTTATATGTATATAAAATGCCTGTGGGAGGAAGGACTAAAACTAGTACTGATTGTCTGTGAGGAGGGGAAATGAGTGGCTGAAGGCCTAGACTGGGAGGACAATTCTCTTCAGCACACTGTGCCTTAATTTCTTTTAACTTTTTTTTTTTAACCATATGAAAGGGTTATTTATTCAAAAAAAAATAAAACAAGAAAATATTATCTATGTTTTGAAGGCCAAATTCATGTGTCTCCTCTTCCATGAACCTTCACTGATTCCTCAACCAAAATTGGGGTGCTTAGAATTGTTTATATTGCTGTGGAAGTTTTGTTGGGCCACTTATGAGGCCTTTAAATATTATGAGTTCTTTGTAGTCAGAGCCACCTTCTACATAGCTCTCTGACACCAAGAGCAACAGAGAGAACGCCTCATAAAAAGTAGCTGTTTGGCCTTTCTCACCTTCTGAGATGGCCCCCACTCTGTCTGTGGAGTGTGTTTCTCTCTAAATAAATCCACTTCTTACCTTAAAAAAAAAAAAAAAAGTAGCTGTTCAAGGGAAAACTAATGCATAGAAATAGAAATCAAATTTACCTGGAGTGGAGATAGCCGATTGACTCGGATCTGACATGAAGGGACTTTTGAGGTATTATAGAAATGTTCTGTTTCTTGATTTGGATGGTGGTTACACTAGTATACATATCATCAAAATTTTAAATGTGTGTATTCCTTTTATTGTATGTAAACTATACCTCAGTAAAACTTTTGTTGTTCAGTACTTCTCACAGTTTTGTGCATAATTTCACATTGTTTTTATTCACTCTTCCATAGTTCTGAAACACAGATGACACTGGGGGTGAAAGGAAGTGAAGATTCTTCTTGTAAGCCAATATTTTCATCTCTCCCTGAAACCAACATTTTAAATGTGGTCAAGGTAGGAGAAAACTCTTTTTTGTATGTCTTTAGCACAGAGCTGGAACCACTTAGTTTTTTGCTTAATGGTTTTAAAACAAAATCAGGGACTTCCTTGGTGGTCCAGTGGTTAAGACTCCACGCTCCCAATGCAGGGGGCCCAGGTTCGATCTTAGGGAACTGGATCCCCTCAGGACGCATTGAAGATCCCGCACACAGCAACGAAGATCCCGTGTGCCACAACTAAGACCCAGCACAGCCAAATTAAAAAAAAAAAAAAATTCACTAGTGTTTTACCATGGGATTTCTAGTCTCTGAAATTTCTTAGCAATAATGTTCATATTAAAGGTTGTTTTTGCTGTTTTATTTATTTATTTATTGTTTTGTTTTTTGGCCGCACTGTGCGGCATGCGGGATCTTAGTTCCCTGCGTGGAGTCTTAACCACTGGACCACTAACCCTGACACAAACCAGGGAAGTCCCTTATTTTTGTTTTAATATTAGGAACGAAAGGGAACTTTGAATCAGAGTTATGTGATTAAAATAGTTCTAGGAATACCTTTACCAAGAAGCTTTTTGCTACTAGTAGTTTTGAAACCAGTAATTTTTTAGAATTAGAATATATGAAGAAAAAAATTGTAACTTACAGTATAACTTAGTGACCAAGAATTAATAACAGTGTTAAAACATTTTTAGTGGCTGAATCAAATCAATGATATTGAACTGTTAAGAAAATTTTGAAAATTAAAAATGGGGAAGAAGATACTTATCAAGTCAACTATTAACATGAGTATTTCTTGCCTTCTTCCTAGACAACTGATGTTTCAATTTCTATATAGTTCTCTTTTGCATTTTTTGTTAAAAAGTTTTTATAATTAAACTCTTCAAGCAAAATATATCTCCTTAAGTTGTTTTGTCTCTGATATGTGTCAAAGTTTCTAGGCTTGTGTACATCTATACATCCGGAAGGTTACCAGGATTGTGAAATAATGTTACTGATTTTAATGTTGTTTAAAATGAGTCTGGAAAAACAACTGAAACAGATTCCTCTAGTAGACTTTCAAAGCCTCCTGATAAACCTGATGAAAAACATCAGAGATTGGAATACAAAGGTAACATTACTTAAAATTTTAATATTGTTTTTTGTATAGCATCACAATTTGACTTTCATAGTGCATGCAGAATTGAAAGTTTGTAACCTCAGTTAAGGTGCTCAGCAGATGAAAAATAAACTGAAGAAACGACTATCTGTGTTGGCACTGTATTTAAATTCATGAAACTGAATCTTTTCTAAAACTGCAGTTAATTCATTCCACAAAAAATGTGTTATGTTTACTGGGGATTTACTGTGGGCCGAGCATTAATGCAGGTGCTAGAGATAAAGCTGTGAAGAAGACAAAGCCCTTGCTCTCCCAGCACTTCTATTCTAGTCAAAGGGTTAGGTTATAAACAATGTAAATGTAGATTATAATATCACGTTAAGTTGTAATAAGTGCTACAAATTACAATAAAGCAGGACAAGGCAGGGATGCTCTACTATTTCATATGAGGCAGTTAAGGAAGCCCTTTCTGAAGTGACCTTTGAACAGAGACCTAAATGAAATGATAGAGTGAATCATACATAACAGCAAGAAGTTGAGTTGAATTTCTGCAGCCATTGGTGGTAAACATGTATAGTTTTTGTTAGGTTTTTTTAAATTATATTTTTCAGCCTTTTTTGGTGGAAAATGTCAAACATGCAAAAGTAGAGAGAAGAGTTTAATGAACCCCTAAATACTTATCACCCAACTTCAACAATTATCAAGACATAATCAATCTTATCTCATCTCTTACCCTCATCCCATACTTCCCTTCCCTACTCAGGGATTATTTTGAAGCAGTTCTGTTAGACTTTAAATACTGGAATAGTTGATTCCTAAAATTCAAGAAATCCCAAATCAGGAACATGTATTATCTTGTGCAACTCTCATTATATACCTTTGGAAACTGGTATGTGTACTTAGACTTTATTCTTCGAAGGACTGTTTAAATACAGATAGATATGATGTAGCACAAAACACAAAAGCCAAATGAAATTCTGGTAAATGTATCTATTCAGTCTATTCTAGAGTTTAAGATAAAACTGAATATGTGGGGGCTTCCCTGGTGGCGCAGTGGTTGGGAGTCCGCCTGCCGATGCAGGGGACACGGGTTCGTGCCCCGATCCGGGAGGATCCCACATGCTGCGGAGCGGCTGGGCCCGTGAGCCATGGCCGCTGGGCCTGCGCGTCCGGAGTCTGTGCTCCACAACGGGAGAGGCCACAACAGTGAGAGGCCCACGTACCGCAAAAAAAAAACACTGAATATGTGTACTCCATGCTGTTTCTAAAAATGAATGCTCTTTTTATAATAATGCTTCATTAAGAAGGGATGTGGGTGATCTGTTAGATATTTGATTCCACTGACCTATTTGAAAAATCTTGCTCACTGTTTGTTTTCAGGTGCCTGAACTCTGTCTGGCCATAAATGAACTCTCCAGTCATCCCCACAACCTTCTGTGGTTGGTACAGCTGGTCCCTAACTGGACATCACGTGGAAGGTATTGAAAAGTGAGAATTAAACACTAAGAAAAATGTATGTTTACATTAATGAAATGCTTTTAGGTCCTTTATTTCCTTTAATCATTCCTTGAATGTTAAATCAGAGTCTTTTATTTCATTTCATATTCAGTTGTGGGAAAAGGCATTGACAGCCTGATTCTGATACTTAGATCAGTTTGTAATATTCTTGATGTTTAATTTTAGCTTATCTGATAATATAGATGGCATATACCATGAAAATGAATCAGTTTGCTTTTTTTTTTTTTTTTTGGCTTTAGTAAAAAGAAATCCCAGGGCTTCCCTGGTGGCACAGTGGTTGAGAGTCCGCCTGCTGATGCAGGGGACGCAGGTTTGCGCCCTGGTCTGGGAAGATCTCACATGCCGTGGAGCGGCTGGGCCCGTGAGCCATGGCCGCTGAGCCTGCACGTCCGGAGCCTCCTGTGCTCCGCAAAAAAAAAAGAAATCCCGGCAGTAAAATAGATTTTCTAACAGTAAATCATCAGGGTCAAAGATAAAGGCTCTTAATGGTTTTCCTGAGCTTCAGGCAACTTTAACTTTGTGTACAAATATTTTACATGAAAATTTTACTGTTCTAGTATAGCTTTTATATTCTTGTATAGCCTTCTTTTGAAACATTAGCTATGTTTCGAATTAGAAGAACTTCTTTTTGCAAACTTCATTTGCTTCTTAAGCAGTATTCATTAAACACATTCTAAATACTTTAAAATTCTAATTCCAGGCAACTGAGACAGTGCCTCAGCCTAGTGATTATTTCAAAGCTTTTGGATGAGAAACATGAAGATATCCCTAATGTGAATAATCTGCAGGTATAAATAACATTTTTGTTTTCTTTTAATAAATGGGAGAGCTAGTGACGTGTAGAGAAAATTGATGGATCCTACGTCAAAAATACTGAGGTTATGGGCTTCCCTGGTGGCGCAGTGGTTGAGAGTCCACCTGCCGATGCAGGGGACGTGGGTTCGTGCCCCGGTCCGGGTAGATCTGGGCCCGTGAGCCATGGCCGCTGAGCCTGTGCTCCGCAACGGGAGAGGCCACAACAGTGAGAGGCCCGCGTATCGCAAAAAAAAAAAAAAAAATAGATCCTAACTCAGGCATAATACTATTCATGTAATCTTTAGCATGGTACTTAACTAATGAGATCCAGTTTCTTTATGTGTGAAATAGAGACAGTATCACACCCTCTACCACATAGGATGGTTGTGGACAATTAGATGAATTAATGTATTAAAAGTACTGGGAAAGGGCTTCCCTGGTGGCACAGTGGTTAAGAATCTGCCTGCCAATGCAAGGGACACAGGTTTGAGCCCTGGTCCAGGAAGATCCCACATGCCATGGAGCAACTAAGCCTGTGTGCCACGACTACTGAGTCTGTGTGCTGCAACTACTGAAGCCCGCACACCTAGAGCCCGTGCTTTGCAGCAAGAGAAGCCACCGCAACGAGAAGCCCACGCACTACAACGAAGAGTAGCCCCCGCTTGCCACAATTAGAGAAAGCCTACGCGCAGCAATGAAGACCCAATGCAGCCAAAAATAAATTAAAAAAAAAAAAAAGTACTGGGAAAATCGTAATGTGCTATATAAATATGACATTATTTAATTAGTTCACCTTGTCAATGTTAGTAATTTTATCACAAGATTAGAAATTGTAGAACTGTTAAACATTAATTTCATCTTGTACCTATTTTAATATTAAAGTCTTTAAATTATAGAGCTTAAATGTGGTTGCCCAGTAGTGAATATATCATGTATGAGTGTGTATATGAGTGTGTATAAACATGTCCTATAGAAACCCCACTCTGAGAAGTCCTGAAGGCTTTTTACAAGCATAGTAACACTAATGGGGTTATTCATAGTTGAATCTGAAAACTCAACACAGAACCTGATCTAGATGTGGTGTTCTTGTTTGAACTGCAGTTCAGTACAAGATAATCCGTTAGGTCCTACAGATTAAGAAAAAAAAAATGAATAAGATAGAGACTCTGACCTTGAAAATATAATGTAGTGGTCGAAACAGAATTAAGCAACCATTGTGGTACAGTGTAGCAAGAACTGTGATGGAAGTATGCACAAGGTGCTGTGAGACAGAGAGATTGAAAGGACAGCTGGTTTCTACATTAGTAGAGTTGACATAGATTTCATTTTAGATTTTTTTGGGGGACCACACCTGAGTGACGAGGGTAATTAGCAAATAGCTCTCAGTCCTTTCAGTGATATTTACTGCCATCAAGAGAGAATTCTTGGACTTCCCTGGTGGCATAGTGGTTAAGAATCCGCCTACCAATGCAGGGGACACGGGTTCAGGCCCTGGTCCAGGAAGATCCCACATGCCGCGGAGCAGCTAAGCCCGTGCTTCACAACTACTGAAGCCCGCGTGCTTAGAGCCCGTGCTCCGCAACAAGAGAAGCCACCTCAATGAGAAGCCCCACGCACTACAACGAAGAGTTGCCCCAACTCGCCGCAACTAGAGAAAAGCCCATGTGCAGCGACAAAGACCCAACGCAGCCATAAATAAATAAATAAATAAATTTATTTTTAAAAAGAATTCTTTTCAGAATTCAATAATGCTACTCACAGGGAGGAAGATTCAACTCTGCTGCCTTTCAAATAATTTCTCAAAGAAAGTCCTCCCTTTGACCTCTATTGTAATGCCATTTGGTCTCCTCCTTAAGTTTTCATCCTCAATTACAAGTACTAAATCTTTAATATCCCTTTTAGGGAATTCCCTGGTGGTCCAGTGGTTAGGGCTTAGCACTTTCACTGCTGGGGCCTGGGTTCAATCCCTGAACGAAGAAATAAGATCCTGCAAGCTGCATGGCACAGCCATAAAAATAAAATAAGATCCCTTTAAAGCAATTGGGGACTTTTTTTTACTCTCATTTTATTGCAGTGAAGTTTAATAGTACAGAAAAGTCACATGACCTTGGTGGGTCAATTGGGGACTTTTAAGTTAAGTGAATATCACTGGACTATAAGAAGCTAAAGGGGCAAAATTAGAGAAGGCAAAAATTATTCAGTGTCTCCTCTTTCTTTTGATAGATATCAGTCTTGCATCGCTATCTTGTGCAAATGAAGCCTTCAGATTTGTTGAAGAAAATGGTCTTGAAGAAAAGGGCTGAACAACCAAATGGCACTATTGATGATAGTCTTCATTTGGAACTTGAAAAGCAGGTATCCACGGCTAGATCATCTCAAAAGATGATCTTAACCATGGACGTTTCTGGGTTTAGAGACTAGATAACGTTCTAGCAAACACAATTATATAGTGAATGATATTTTTGTTTATTACTGTCATGAAATTCTTCAGTTGACTTGAGGATTGAGGTAAAAGGATGGTTGTTGGTAATTTAATACTGGGAGTATTTTTTGTAGCCCTTTACTAGGGCAGTCGTGAGGTGGTAAAAGGAATGCACTTGAGTTAGAAATCAGAAACCTGGGATAAATGCTTGGCTTTTCCTTACTAACCAGCTCAGTTAACTTGAGCAAATCCTTAATCCTTCCTAGGCAGCTTTCCTAATGTATAAACTGGGATGACATGTATTCTAGCTAATTCATGGGTGTTGATTTTATTCATTTCTCTACCAGGCATATTACCTGACCTACATTCTTCTTCATTTAGTCGGTGAAGTTAGTTGTTCTCACTCTTTTTCTTCTGGACAACGGGTAGGTATTTTTTAGTGTTTTTTGTTTTTAATAAGTGTCACTATTGATGGAATAAATGAACATTCTTTATATAGGAGAAAACTTAATAAAATAACTTTTATCAAGTTACCTTTGGATTCTCTATAGAAATCCGAGTGTACACTGGAAAGAGAGAAGTAATAGTAACCTTGCAGCCATGTCACTGACAAAAATTATTTGTCTACACATGTTAGTTCTGTTTACTGGAGTGGGACTTAACTGTGATAACTTGGCAGTAGTGTAATACATTAATAAGATATCAAGATCACCAGATACCAAATGGGCTAGCTCTTAGCTGGTTTCTTCCCATCTCTACTCCCACTCCACTTCCTTTTTATTTAGAAATTATGTTTGCCTTCAAAATTAAACTGATGGTAAGTCAGGCTACTTCAGATATGCATTTCTAAATTATCTCACCATATTAAGATTTTCATTTCGAATTATTTTATTCTTCGTGTCCTATCATGTTCCATACTCCTGGGGAAAGTTCTTGTTTAATTCTTCATGTTTCACACCTTAGGTAATCCAACCCCTGTTTAAAACTTTGTATCTCCTTAGGCCTGATCAGAAGGACACAAGACTGGTTCATGTCTTTTTATAAACACTGGTGTACATAGAACTATTGTTTGCTCTCCTGATTGGAACCTAACATAGTCATCTATCTGTTCTTATATATGGTCTTTACATTTTTAAATTATTTTTTTCTGATTAGAAAACAATCAATGATTATTGCTTTAAAATTCAATTATTATAAAACCATATAAGGTAGAAAGTGAAAGACTTTATAATCCAGTGCCCTCCTATAAATTTCTCCATAATTTATGCATATACTAACATAATTATATTTTAATGAGGTCATGTTATTCATATTATTTGCAACTTGTCTTTCTTTTTCCCCCCACTGTAAATTACTGGCACGTCTATCTCATAACTGTAGTATTTCAAAACGTTTATTGATGAACATTCCTTTCTGTGTGATTACACACAGTGCTAACACAAACCTTTGGAAGCATTTCTGTAGGGTAAATTCCTAGAAGTAGAAATGCTAGATCAAAGGTTATAAATATTTCAAATTTTAATTATTTAAAAATGGTTGTTATCACATTTCCCTCCCAAAAAATGTTCATTTACATTCTCACCTTAGTATATTCAACCTTAGTATATATATATGAGTGTGACTGTTTTGGACTATACACTTCTAAAACTTAGGGCACTTAATTTTTCGAGGAGCTACCACTAAACCTCCTTTTGTTCATAGAGAAAAAAATAGGTTAGCTGTTACTTGAATATTTCATTAGAGAATGTGTTAATGGAAAGACTCTTAAATTTCTAGGCACTACTTCACAGTCTGAATTCTAGGGTTAATTTTCATTAATGTGCCTTAATACATAGCAAAACAACCTTTATTTTTGTGTATATTTTATGCATTAACTAGCAATAAACTATAACAGTCTTATTGTTGTGGCAGTTAGTACTTTTTACTGATATGACTGCTATTATGTTGGATAGTTAATATCAGAAATTGCTAAGGTAGATTTTTTAAAATGATTGCTAGCTGTCCTAGCTACATGATCTTTTCTTTGTTAATTTGTAATGCTTCAGAGTTGTTTTCATCCCTTGCATTTGTTTTACACAGAAACACTTTGTGCACCTCTGTGGGGCTTTAGAAAAGCATGTTAAGTGTGATATTAGGGAAGATGCAAGACTGTTTTATAGAACTAAGGTAAGTGTGTGTTTTTCTTATTGTTAGCTTTTTGTTTGTTTGTTTAACCTTGGTTTCGTTAATACTTGAGTAATACGTATAAGCCTCTCTTTAAGAAGGAACATATAAGATTAGAAATATGACTTTCTCCTTTAATAACAAATTAACTTCTACTAAGTACTTCTAGCTAGATTGAAAGTAAAGCAGGGGGGGAATCTCAAAGCAAATACATTTTAAGACAAGCTGAATATATGAGTATGGAGTTAGGAAAGCAACTTCGGTATTAATAAAACAATTTGACGATTTTTCCTGAAACATAACAGGATTTTCTGGAAACTTTTTCTTCTAAGGATTTTTTTTATTCTAAATCATCTTTTAGCTTTTGTAGTGTAGAGCCGATCCATTCTTGCCATTTGTGTTTGGATAGTCATTGAATGTGAGGTTTCAGCTTTGTAACTTTATATTTTACATTAATTAGCTGTAAAGGTTAGATATTTCAACAATTCCCATTTAGATTTAGTATCTGTATTTAAATAGATTTAAGTTAAATACAAAAATGAGCAGCTAATGAAATTGTATCAGATTGCAGATTTTCAAATACATGTAGCGGATAGCTCTTTGCCTTAGAGTGGAAACTGTAGTTTCAGAAGCACATTCTTTTGAACATTAACTAGAGTTACTGGCCCATAGAACTTGGTGGTAGTGGCTACTGCTGACAGACATGCTAAGGAGGACCACCCAAGGTTTTTGTTTCTTAAAGCCAAGAGGCTGGGCATAGACTGGTGCCAGGGCTCCTCTTACTTAGAGCAGAGAATGACACAGAGGTCTGTGGCAGTTGCTTTCAGGGGATGGTCTTGCTGAAATAGATGAATTGCATGCCTCTCCACAAGCCTCTGGTAGAAAAAGGTGGTGCTTGTTTTAGAGAAACTGAATCTGCTGAACTCTAAATGGAGAAAAAAGCAGACCTTGAAATAACTTAAAGCAACTATAAAATTCCTGACCTGTTTAAAATACTTTGTTGGGACTTCCCAGGCAGTCTAGCGGTTCAGACTCTGTGCATCCACTGCGGAGGGCGTGGGTGCGATCCCTGGTCAGGGAACTAAGATCCCACATGCTGTGTGGCACGACCAAATAAATAAATTAATTTAATTAAATAAAACATTTTGTCAAGCAATTATGTCCAGGAACTAACTGAGAATCTCTAATATGGTAGGAGTTTCACACAGAGACTTGCTAAACCTCCAAATACAGGAATAGATCAGGTATTTAAAGAGGATTCATAGGGGCTTCCCTGGTGGCGCAGTGGTTGAGAGTCCGCCTGCCGATGCAGGGGACACGGGTTCGTGCCCCAGTCCGGGAAGATCCCACATGCCGCGGAGCAGCTAGGCCCGTGAGCCATGGCCACTGAGCCTGCACATCCGGAGCCTGTGCTCTGCAACGAGAGAGGCCACAACAGTGAGAGAGGCCCGCGTACTGCTAAAAAAAAAAAGAAGAGGATTCATAGTGTAGTCTACCTTTGAACAACACGGATTTGAGTACTGATTCTGTCCAAACCATTTTAGCTTCCTGCCCTTGGGTAAGTCATTTATCACTTTCTTTGTTTTTGAGGCAGAGAGAGCAGTATGATTTTCTGCTGTGCGGCGTCTTGGCACCACTAACCCCCGTGTTGTTCAAGAGTCCACTGTACTTTGCAAAAACCTAGAGAGGCTTAACATTGAATTTTGGATCTTGTAATAGTGTGAAAAGGAACAGATGACAACCCTTTTTTTGTGGCCTTGAGTCTTTCAAATAGAACTTGGAAGGCAGGGAACAGCCAAAGCTTTGGGTCCTGTAACAAAGGCCACTCTTCAGCTTCCCTTTTGGGTGTTCAAAAGACAGCAAGTTGAAAATATAAGTGTCTTGAAGGCAGGGAGTGTGTTTTTCTGGATGATCGTTAGTAACTAATGGGAAAATGGAGTCCTAAGCATTCAGTATTTTAGATATGGTGATGAAGGAAGGTCTTAGTAATCACTATGACTTGAAAGCCCCTCCAGAAGTTGAGGAGTTTATTCTCTCTTTCTTAACAGAAACCACATTGAGTTGTTGGGTGTGGGTCTGTCACAGCTATCAGGTCTTTTGTATCAAGCATTAAATTGTTTTGCTCTGATCCCTTTTCCCCTTCTTGATATTTTTAAGGTAAAAGACTTGGTTGCCAGGATACATGGAAAATGGCAGGAAATAATCCAGAACTGTCGACCTACTCAGGTGTCGTTTTATTAAACAGTTTCATTTATTCTCAGTAGTTTTGCTAAACGTTATTTCTTCATACTGTTAAAAAAAAATCATGACAGAGCACTTGCTTCTAGGTATCCTAAAATGAACTGAAAACCCCAGTATAATATTTTATGTATGGTTTTTAAATTTCTGTTTGCTGTTATATTCATTAATTTATTTCCAAAGGTGTTTGACCCCATTTTAAAATGTTACACTGCATCAAATGGAGGTTATTTCTCGTGGAGTATTTTTCTTAATATCTTTATTAAGATAAAATTCACATATCATTCATTTCACCCAAAGTGTACAGTATTTTTTAGTATATGCACAGAGTTGTGCAGTCATCACCACAATCTAACTTTAGAACATTTTTGTCACTCCAAAAAGAGATCACATACCTATTAGCAGTCACTTCTCATTCCCAACCACCTGCACTCCTGTCCCCACTCCACGCCCTAGGCAACCACTAATCCACTTTCTGTCTGTATAGAGTTGCCTGTTTTTTATATTTCATACAAATGGAATCATATATGATGTAGTCTTTTATGACTGGCTTCTTTTATGTAACATAATGTTAAGTTAATCCATATTGTAGCATGTTGTATGTCCTTTCTATTGCCAAATAATATTTCATTATGGATATACCACATTTTATATATCTACTTATTAAATGGACATCTGAGTTGTTTCCACTTCCTGGCTGTTATGAGTAATGCTTCCATGAACATTTGTGTATAGGTTTTGGTGTAAATGTATGATTTCAAATGAAAACATTTTGGGCATATACCTGGGAGTGGGATTGTTGGATCATATAGTAATTCTGTGTTAAATGTTTTGAGGAACTGCCAGACTGTTTTCCAAAGTGGCTTCACTGTTTTACATTCCCACCAGAATGTGTGAGGTTTCTGATTTCTCCACGTTCTTGCCAACACTTGTTATTATCTGTCTTTTTGATATAGTCATAGTAGGGTGTTGGACATGGAATGTCATTGTGATTTTAATTTGCATTTCCCTAATAACTAATGATGTTGAGCATCTTTTTATGTGTTTATTGGCCACTCATATAGCTTCTTTGAAGAAATGTCTGTTCAAATCCTTTGCCCATTTTTAAATTTTCTAATTGTAAGAATTTTCCATGTGTTCTAAATATAAGTCCCTCATTAGGTATATAATTTGCAGATATTTTCTCCCATCCTGTATGTTGTCTTTTATTGTTTTGATGATATTATTTGTAGAACAGAAGTTTTTCGTTATGATGAAGTTCGGTTTTATCTTTTTTTTTCTTTTGTCACTTAGGGTTTTGGTGTTATATCTAAGGAGACTTTCCTTAAGAGGAGCATTGTTTAAACACCTGATATTAAGTTTGCCATCCTGCTTATTTACAAACCAACTAATATGGGATTGTCGAAAATGCTTCTCAAATTTTATTTATTTATTTTTAATTTGGCCATGCCATGTGGCTTGTGAGATCTTAGTTCCCAGACCAGGGATTGAACCTGTGCCCTCAGCAGTGAAAGCACAGAGGCCTAACTGCTGGACTGCCAGGGAATTCCCTGCTTCTCAAATTTTAATGTACATAGGCTTCAATAAGGAACTTGTTGAAATACGGATTTTGATTTAGTAGATCTGGAGTGTAGCCTGAGATATTCTGCATTCCTAACAGGTTCTCAGACTGATGCCAATGCTGCTGATCCGGGGACCATACTTTCATTAGATAGGGCCTAGAAGTTGCTTATATTTTATATAAAAGTAGCAGGAACACTGAAGATTAGTTAAGAAAAGCAGTCTCACTGTGTTATGACACTTTGGCTCTTTTGCTGTTGGTGTTCTTCATAAGATAGAGAAGTCTTTGAGAAATCTTAAGTTAACATTTTGTTGTTCTTGTTTTAGTTTTTAATCTCAGTAGACTTTTTTTTAGGCTTGCCGTTTTTGTTCATGTAACATTAAAACAGAAAAGAATTTAATACCAAAACTTTATATTAATCAGCTTAACAGGGACTTCCCTGGTGGTCCAGTGGTTAAGACTCCACACTCCCAATGCAGGGGCTCCGGGTTTGATCCCTGGTCAGGGAACTAGATCCCGCATGCCGCAACTAAAAAAGATCCCACATGCCGCAACTAAGACCTGGCACTGCCAAATAAATAAATATTTTAAAAATCAGCTTAACTTTTTACTTAATCTTTTTAAATATGTCGCTCCACATGTGTGTGTTACTGAGGAAAACATCTTGTACTTATTTATACTTTTAAAAAATTTTTAGACTATAAAATGTGAAACTTGAATCTGATTACTGTAAATTTTCAGAGCAATTTATAATATCAAAACTTTATTACTTTCATTATCAAAGCACATTGTCTGATGATTAGTGGTTTTATAAGGATTAATTCATAATCTGATTTTCCTTTATTCTGTTTTTTTCGCCCTTCCCTTTTCTAGGGGCAGCTTCATGACTTCTGGGTACCAGATTCTTAACAGGAGTTGCAGCAGCAAAATTATGAACCAAGAGAAATTCAATAAGAGTCTTTCCTAAAGGAGTAGAAAGTAGTACAGAACCCAGTGGAAGGCCAAGAAAATGTTCAATAAATGTGCTACTTGAATATCTAGTATGAAGCTGGTAATGAAGAAATTGCCATTTCTGAAGCAGATACGAAATGCGATCTGCTTAAAAAGGCAACCAGCCTTTTAAAAGAGCAGAATCCCATAACAAGAGGGGAGGGGTGGAAGCAGCTGATAGTTGCATGTCTAACCTTCCCCTGTTAACTCTTGTTAAATTTTAAGCCAGTTATCTTTTTTGTTTGTTTGTTTGGATTGTATTTGCGGCACTTGGATAATCACAGAAAGGATGGAAGAAAGGGTTTGGATGAACTTGAGGAGATGGACATGGAAACCAAGATCAAGTTCCAGTTTGGTTTAATTTTCCATCTTGGTTATTTTACGACTCAAAGGGAACACTTAGAACTGAGTTTACTAATAGAAAGGATAAATCTCTTCTGTTACTCCTGCAAACCACTGGCGGGTTTTAATCCATGTATTTTTCTTGGCTATTCAAGATTATAAATCTGTTGGGTTTTTAAAATACATCGAAACAAACAGTTGAGAAACAGAAGTTTGGTATATTGTCAGATCCCCTTAAGGGGAAGAGTTTAAGCTATAAAATAGTGGCTCTGTTTTTATTCCAAAACATACATATGCAGTTTGTTTTGGATTTTCTTTAAGTGCATATATATATATATATATATGTGTGTG